ATGTACAGTAATAAGTAATAACTAATAACTATATTTTATGGTGGGGTGGTGTAAAAATATTAAACGTGATTCGAGGGAAAAAAAGTTCAAGCTGCCACTGTGTTACTATAAGAAACTAATAATTTTTAAATAACTTTTTTGAGTGGTTCACAATCACATGCTCTTGTGCACCATGCCATAAGCCGCCACTGCTTAATAACCAAAACAACAATATTATTACATTAATTGAAAAATTGAAAACAAGCCATAAATATCAGTTTATAGGTACTACTAGCATTCATCCTAAATTATTGTTGATGCTGCAATGCTTTGATATAGAGTTCTGTACGACTGTATCAAGTAAGAACTGGCATAAGTCCCACCATTTTTTTGTAGGACATTTGGAAGACCATCRATATTATAATATACTAATTATARTGTAAGCTATTTAAAAACATACCTGCTGATTTGTCATAAACACTCATAACTTTTCTTTTTTTGTTGACTTCTTTATTGAATACTACTTTATCCCATATTTTTAGCCATTGCAATAACATTCTATTAGTGCTTTCATCACTTAACAAATCCAAATATCTATTTGGCTTATACTTCTGCACCCACAATTCTGCCGTGTTATCAATACTGCTATCCAAGATGCTGACACCATTTTTATTCACTTCTGACCGTATACCTTCATTATTCTCAATCTGTACAAAATAAATTGGTTATTAAAATTAAATTTGGAAAGAATAGCCCATTTATTTAAAAGAATATACATTTTTTCATTSAAATTTATAAAATTTGTWATAAATATGTATAACAATTTTTAAATTTTGTTGCCGTTTACTATATATATTTTCAATACCTAGTAGTAMAAAGTATCAGCTTTTGTGTCACCTTTCTAAAATTAATTGCTGCAAAGTCAGGACTGTTAAGTTTATAGTTCAGAATATTTTACCCAAATAAATTGAAAAGATTAGTTATCAACTGAACTGTGTCACTATGAGTATATTAAAGAAAAGACAACACCCAATGTTAACATTCTTTTTCTTTTATTATTATCGCTTGTCTACATTTTTTGAGGATTTTGCTGTATCATACAGCCAATCTTTATTGCTTTATAGCTAATAGAAACAAAATGTTTGGAATTAAAAATAAAAGCTGATCTCTAGATACCAAAAATATTACAAACAATTACGCAATTATATTAAAAACAGTTGTAGATATTTATAAGCAAAATCATTAAATTTYGTAGAAAAAATAAAACTAGACTTAAGAAGTTACTTTTTGCATTGCTTTCATATAATGTAAATAATAAATAAAAATGAAACCTTCTCATAAGCACGTGCAATCAAGTCATCAACAGGGTCTGAAAGCAACTGCACTGATTTTGTATGCCATGATAAACTTGATATCTGAATAGTAAATAGGTAAAAGTATTTTAAAGTAAGTTCATGGCAAAGTATTTGGTCTAAATTGTGATAACTATATTTAAAATACTTCTTCTTGTACAGCATCTGCAGATCGAAAACGAATATAAACTCTTTGATTTTCACCATCACTTGCAGGGAAAAAAGACCATGATGGAACTCTTCTTGACACACTTTCATATGGCTGAGTATGACTGGAAACATGTAATACAATTAATTTATACAAAAAATTATAATATCAACGAGAAAATATCAATACTCTAGCCAGCGAGAGTCCAACCGTAAACCGACCCAAAAACCTGTCGTCACTGAGCATCGGTGATTACACGTTGCCAAGTAGTGGGCATGGTGCCTATAGTGGGAGAAAATTTGGCCAACAGTATTYGCATGYGTCGGTATTGGTGCAAGGTTTATGATCAGACTCTCATGGGCCGGAGTGTAAGAATAAAAAATGAATTAATTTAATTACAAAACATTTATATTTTCTAATTTGGTACCAATATGCATTAATATTATAAGTCCGGATTTTTATGCATTTTAATATGTATATTTAATTWTTTTTTTTAAAGCTATAAAATATGCAAAGAAAAATTTTAAAGTGCATAAAAATATATATTTAAGGAATGATAGATTTTTAATCTTCTAAATCAAATTATAACATTGTTTAATTGTCTAATAATTTATTTATCTATAAGGAGTCACATGAGGATATACTCATTAGCTGTAGAGAGAGACTCGCCACTTTGATAAAAACCAGTTTTTGACGTTTTATCCATAAACTAAAAAAATATTAAAAATCATGAGATTAAATAATACAAAATGTTGAAAAATCAATATTTTCAGAAAAATAAGTTCTATAAAATAGATATCATTATTTTCTCCAAAAATTTAAAAATAAAATATATGTAGCCCTTGTCTATGTATGTTTAATAAACAAAAAACAGATTTATGATATATTTATTATCTCAGGAGACATTTCAGTGGGTAAATCCTTGTGGGACACCCTGTATATATTTAGAGAAATTTTGAAAATGTATTGGTTAAACTATCTTGTGACAGTTTTTTTTCACAATAAAAAAAAAAATTATTTATGGTTGATAATCTTATATTTGAATGGATASAATAATTTAAAAATACATAAAACACTGTATAGTGTATACCATATTCATAAATAGTTAAATGTTTTATTTTATTGTATCTAAATTTCAATTAAATTTCAATTTTTAATATTTAAAAGTACATAATTTTTTAGATAAGAACATATTTTTGAAAATTTCCTTAAATTTTTAAACGTTATAAAGTCTGGATTTTTGTTTGTGAATAAATATAAATAGCTTATATAATAACCTTAAACTTTCTACAAACTAAATCCACTGAATAGATGACTAAATGTCTATAAAAAAAATATTACTATTTTTGTTCAAATGAAAAAATATTTAAAAATTAAAAAATAACTGATCAACCGCAAAATTTAATAAACGTTAGAATTAGAAAGCTGCTTTCTATACCTTCAAAAAGATATACTCCATATTCCCCCRTAGGAATCAACATATTCCCTCCAACCACATAAAAAAAGAAAAAAATTGTCTTAAAAGTTCTTTTAGGGTGCTGATGTTTTAGGGAACAACTTAACAGCACTTTATGTATCCCTCTGAGACTTGAATGAATATYCATATTAAATTTAATTTGGGTCAGTCAGATGGTCCCAGTGAACTATTATACAAATCATATTTTTTATATATAAATATTTTGAGGTGCATGTACTTAAATATAATTATGCATATGATCCGGACTTTAATTAAAGCCTTTTAATTTTTATACAATAATTAAAAACTTACTTTGAGCTATTGTAAGAAATAGATGATAAAAAATTGGATCTTTTTCCAGATTTGAATATTTTCCTTTGATCAATAATTTTTTTTATTAAATCTTGCTGTTTAATGTCTTTGTCAGATAATGGATTTACTTTTTGACGCTTTAATACAGGTTCCACTATTAAAAATAATTGAAAATGTGTTATCAACCAGTTTTAAAAGTTACATAAAACATTATTGGCAATATTAATGAATTTAATTTTTGTTATGCATCACATTAAAATTGAAATCATATAAATAATAAATATGTTTTAAATCATACATCATTATTATCATTACAGCTTATCATAAGGTATAAAAATTATACAAATATTTGAAAACTTACATTCTACATCTTCAAAATTAATATCATCAGTGTTTCCAAATAGATCTTCAACATTTAAATATCTTTTGTTGTTGGTAACTGACAATGAAGTACTTGGTTGTACCTGAAATTTAATAAATATACAATAAATATAACTTTGATCATAGTGGTATTGGTATACAACTGTAGATAAAACATACTTCATTTTCATTATTACCATCCAGATTACAAGAAACTACTGATGTTTGAGATAAAGGAAAAACACCATTTAATTCACTTGACAAATTGAAATTCCCTTCATATTCAACTCTTTCATTAGAAGAAAACTTTAAGCTTCTTCTTGTATCTTTTGGTGAGCATATTTTGACCGCTATAAATAATAAAAATAAACTAGGTATATAACATCAAATTAATATTGTTAATATTATAATATACAAATGACACAGTGATATATGACAAATAAATATGKAATAAATATATTCATAAACTATTGGATTGAAGGAGCTTAAAGCCATAATAATTTCATAAAACAATTAATTATCATAATACGATCAAATTACCATCGGTATTAAAGTCCATTTCATTCATCATTTCCAATTCATCAGCGTGCATCATTTCAAATTCTTCTTCTGGGTCCAAGTAGTCCATTTTACAGCTTTTCAATTGTTCTTTTACACAAAACAAATGTTATAATGTTATTTTACATTTATTAAATTTAAATTAAAAAATGTCCAATATTTTGGATTATGAATTTTAATATTTATAATACACATTAATTTAATTAATACATGTATTATGTAAGTAATATCAAAGGCTGGCAGTTGCAGTATACATAAAACATAGACATATTAACTGGCAATATTATATACGGCCTCAAAGGCACAGAACAATTTHTGTTATTCTGCATCTGCGAAACAGTRCTTAAGCGCAATGCTACGGTAGTTGTCCGAAAAATGATAAGAACCCAAATAAAGATACTTGTAATGAAATGGCGCCAAAATTATGTCTTGAACACTTGGTAAATGGTAACCACTAATCAGTTATCACAGAAGATTATGGTACTTATTGGTAACACACACACGACACACAATTTTGCATGATGCAAATTCCAACTTCCTAAGTATAAAATGATATTTAGAATTTACCTACAGTTTGGCACAGAGCCACAGAGACAGAATAGTAAGGCATATAATTATCTACTTCTGTCTTCTACAGTGACCTAAGAGCAGATGATCCTCCAACACGATTAAAAATATAATTATCTTTTTAACCGTGTTCTCTCCAATCATGGGTTAATTGTAAGCATGATAAGATCCAGTTTACCGGCTCATAGAATACAATAATACATCACATCTTCTCTACATCGTGTAACGTAATATATACAATATTGCCGCTAATAAAAAAATATGGTAATCATGATGGTAATGGACCGGACCGGTTAAGTGAAGTCTCTAATAATATGACCTAATCTGTTTATCAGGTTTATCTGTATAGGTTTTGCCTTCTKCCACAGCCCACAGCCCACAGCCCATAAAATAATTATTTAGTTGCTTATATTATAGTCTATAGACCAYAGTGTCGATGTATCGAATGACTGGAATGGCGATTATGTAGGTACTATAGGGAAATGAGCAATCCATATTATTTTATTTCTCATTTTTAAGAATACAGTATTATGTAATAGGTACTTAACTACTTATTGTTAATATTTTATAATTTTTTCTTTGTTTTTCTCTTGCTTTAATTTGATTGATTACGTAATAAATATAAAATAATTTAATATGTTAGTTATGTAGATAAAGAGATAACTTCTATAGTATTGTTCATAATATTATTAATTATTATACTGCTTACTTAACTAAAAATAAAATTATTTAATTTACACTTATTTGTTTGAACTTATTGAAGCCTTATAACTTAATAATTAATAACTAGGTATCGCTTTAAAAAATTTAATGCTAATCAGTAAATTTCAACGTTTGATATTTTATTTATAAGTAGTATTTTAACCAATTGTTGATAGAAAACGTTATACTTAAATTATTTAAAAAACTCCTATTAATAAAGTGATAGGTAATAATCAGCTATGAAGAGATTAACCGCCAAATTAGTATTCATGGGATCTCAGGGTAAGTTAATTTATCAAAATAAATAGAAACTTGAACAAGTTTGGTATTAATGGTATTGCACATTTTATACTTGATGACTGATGTATATTAATTAAACAAATAATAATAGTTTTTTATATTTTTATATTATTATAAATTTATAAGTATTTAATATTCTATAATATTGCTTATTCATTTACATCTAATATGATTTGTTATTAATCGTTAATTTTAAATTCAAATTATAATACAGGTTATAGATGAATTTACAGTAGACACTTTTAAATATTGGTATTTTTTTAAATTATGAATTTCTTTCACTAAATTAAATAGAACTTATTATGTTTTCAATACATTAGTTTTTAATTTGTCACAAGTCACCATAATACTAAATCTTCTAGTATATTATTATATCTCAATATTGTTAGAACTTATTCAAAACCAAAAACTTGCCCAAATTATTAATTTTTTTTTACAAAATATTAACTTTACCTGTAAGTAACTACTCCAAATTAAATTATAATTGTATCTAGTACCAACGTTTATAAACAGACATGCATGACATGTGCATGCATCTTCATTCCCAGTGAGTAAAAGCTTTAATTGATATGCATTTATTTATTTATATTATAACATTTATAACTATGAATGAACATACATTTTAATGTTATATAACTTTACTATAAATAATTATAGCTTAAAAATATGACATAATATTATTTATGGTACTAAAAATATTTTCCTCTGAGTGGAGTGCTGAAAATTTTGGGTTTTACAGTGATTTTTTTTGTGTGTATTTTGCTTCTCATTTACCTCT